AATTATTTTCAGCCTTGGGTTTTTTGTTTTTTTTTTTTTTAATCCCCTAAGGAAGACAACGAATGAACTGCTTTTTCAAATTCTTCATCTAAGAAACATTGAGTGCATCTTCTGTTCCAAACACAATGTCAGATGCTGTTTGCCCTTCCTGCTTCTTTCCTCATTGGAGGACATAACCCCCTGTGTCATGATGCTTGGTTACTGTTAAAGTGACTAATTCTACAAGTCATGGTTGAAACTTTGAATGAGGAGTAGGCAGTGAATCCACACTGGACCCATAGACAACTATCTCTTGGGGTCAGCCACTGGGACCTCTAACGTATGTGTTGAAGTAACACGTAGAGCTTGTTGTCCTCCTTGCGTTCAGTTTTGTGGAGCCTCCTGTGTGGAATACACCGGTTATCGTTGAGTCGATTCCAACTTAGGGCTATCCTATCTGTGTCAGAGTAGAGCTGTGCTCCCTGTGGTTCATAGGGGCTGATTTTTCAGAAGCAGATTGCAGGCTTTTCTTCTGAGATGTCTCTGGGTGAACTGAAACTTCCAACCTTTCTGTTAGCAACTAAGAAAGAGTTCATTAACCTTAAACACCACCCAACATCTCCATGTTGAATACAAGATGCAGTATTTATTAATTTTGCTGAAGAGTTCCTAAGCGGGTAGTTTTCATAGCCTCTTGGGGGGCTTAAATCAGTTGAGAACCTTCTTTGTGTGTGAATGTCCTTATTTGTGAAAAAACTGTGTATTTATTTTAGCAGGAGTTTTTTCTTTTCATATTTAATTATTTCCATATGCTTTGAAGTTAAGAAAGAACAGGCAGCAGTTGTCCCAGTATTACAAATACTTTGTGATATTTGGTGAGCTGCTTATATTGCACTGAAGGGTAAGCTTTTTAGGGGCAGGGTCTGTTTTCTTCTTTGTATTTCCAGTGTTTGGAATGTAGTAGTTGTTCCAAAAAAAAGAAAGAAAGAAAAGTTTGAACTGACTCTTTGATGCCGTCATTTCTCTGTCTGCCCTTTGGAATGCTTTAAAGGAAAAAATGTTTGCTTCAGCTGCAGAAAGATTATTTTTGAAACATACCAGTCAGATCTTCACAGGTATAGTCCTGAGTGTCTACAGGGAGGCACCATGAGATTTTTTCATTTCCCAATAGCAGGAACCACACTGTCCTGCCTCAGCCACATTCTGATGGAAGGCCTCCTGGGTCAACTTTTGGTGTGTTTGAGAAAATACGTTTGGAGGCAGACTGGCATGGTTGGATGGTTTTAGCCCTTCTCAGAATGACTGAAAACCCAAGAGATTTGACAGTGTGGGTCCAGACACTAGCTCCCCAGCCAGATTGCCCTGGAGGCAGATCTGTGTCCTGCAGCCTGCTCCTACATGTGTCCTCCTTACCTGAACCTAGTTCATTCTTTGTCTAAACACCTGTTGCCATTGAGTTGATTCCCGCTCATAGCGACTCTATAGGACAGACTACAGCTGCCCTATTGAGTTTCCAAGGCTGTGCTCTTTAGGAAGCAGATAGCCACATCTTTCTTCTGTAGAGCAGCTGATGGCTTTGAACCACCGACCTTATGGTTAGCAGCCTAGTGCTTAACCCGCTGTGCCACCAGGTCTCATTATTCTTCATCTACACTTTCTTATCTCACTTAATAAGATGTCCTTTTGAAGCGTTAAATGAGTTTTTGTATATTTTTCGCCCTTACCTTGGATATGACCAAAAAGAATAATGCATTTTTGCTCAGGTATGCCCAGATGGCCCCTGGGAGAGTACGTAAGAAACTGGCAACAATGGTTATGTCTGGGAGGAGGTCCGAAGCACAGGTTCAGGAGTAGGAAGAATAAACCTTCTATAACATGTTGTATGATTTAAGTTTTTACCCCAAGTTTATACCTGAGTTATTACTTGAAAATACAGTTTGTGTAAGTTTCCTATCACTTTCTTATTTAGAGATTCTTTTCATTTTTAAGGGACCGAATTTGAATTGTAAGTAAAAATTATTATTACTAAAATAAGGGATCATTTAATTTTTGATAGGCTGCAGAATTTTCCCAGAACATGGGCTCAAAAAAAAAAAAAAAGTTGTTATATTGGATTATGGCTTTCCTTCTGTACTCTGCCCTTTGGACCAGGAACATGAACCCAGCCCTGATTTTGAGATAGCTCAAGCTTCCTGGGCCTCCCTGAAAGGTAATACTAGAACACTCCCATGCTGCCATCATATGCTGTGTGCCCTGTTATTATTATTATTTATTATTTATGAACTACTTCTATGAGGTGCAAGAATTAAGTGAACTCAGAAACAAAAGGACAGAAACACTTGAAATTGAATTGATGCTTAAGTGTTGAAACCCTACAAAAGTGCCCTGGTTTGGGATTTCTCTCAGGAAGGGTGAGCCTTTCATGGACTGGGGCTTTCACTCTTGCTATCAAATTATGCCCATGTCAGATATCCTTGCTTAAACAGTTTTTGAGTTTAATGTTAAGGATAGTATTGCTAATAGGAAAAGCAATTCCAGACCTTCTTTCCAGCTTTAATAAATCCAGCACATATTTTTGAAAATTCTGAACATTTGCATGCTTACCTGCCCACCAACCAGTCTGCTTTTCACATGCTAGAAGAGCCCTGCGGCTGTTCTTGGCTACCTCATGTTTGGTTTTAGGTTTGCACAGATGCTTGTGGAAATAAGCAGCAAGAACTGTTGGTGCAGTTTCTGTACACACCTCCTAGTGGTGTTGGAAGTTTCCAAAACAAAATTCCTCGTTGGTGCCGGGGGATTGGATTTGAACATCGGGTAATAATAGGCCCCCAGAGAGGACTCTGGAGTTGGTTGTAGCTTCCCTTCAAATAAACAGACTTTGGCAGTGATACTTTTGGGCAGGCACGCTGGTCCCAGAAACTATTAAGTGGACTTCTTTGAAGGCTTTACATCCCTGGGGAGGGCTAACAGAAGAGGCTGTGTGGACGAGCTGCTGGGGGAGCCCCTGGCTGACCCTTCTCCCTGGGACAGACGTGAAACAAAACACTCTGCCAGTCAGCTTTCAGTGACTTCCTCTTTTCAGGTGCCCACAATTGGTATTTACAGAAACCTTTCATCACCAAGGCTACCGTTTAGCACATGACTGTCAGAAGAGGAAAAATACAAACAATCCTCTCGACATCTACAGATACGCAAACGATTCCAGGCCTGGCCTTGGAGATTATATTGTAAAGACATCAATCTGGTAGGGGTGAAGCTGCTATAAAGACAACACCCAACCCTTCTTCCCCTTCCAGCTATGCATTGTGGTTTTCAGAACCATGAGAGATTTTTCCTAAAGATCTAAAATTGGAGGTTACATAATTTTATCACATTTTGGATACATTGTGTTGATCCAGTTTTAAGTTCTTCTTCATGACTTTGAGTGTTGAATTTTATGTCATTTTAAGATTGACCGATTGATGGCAAGCTATGGGTTTTCTCCCTTTCTCCTTTTATCTTGGGACATTTGAATTAGAAACTTAAACTTGCCTCAAAAAAAAATAAATTTAAATTTGAGCCCTCTCCCTGTGTTGTAAAAGATGACCCATGGAAAATAGGAGAGTGCAAAGCAGGAATCCTGTTGGAGGAGAGAGAGTTTGGAGAAATGCAGAGCTGATTCAGAATCCTGGCTGTGCTCTGAACAGTTGCATGACTTGGTACAAATTACTTAACTTCTGAGCTTCAGTTTCTTCCGTCTGAGAAATGGATAGAATATACACTTCGTCATTTCTTGTGAGATTTAAATGAGGATTTTTCTAAGTGTGTACAGTGTATGTTGTGTACAGTGTATGTTGTGGATGCCATTTAAATGTTAGTTTTTTATTTCTCTTTGCCCCTGTAAGTGTAGAATGAGCTAAGATTGTGGGGACAGTGATCAGCCTTGTGAGCAAGAAACAGATAAAGGTGAAAGAGGAAGTTGTACATATTTGAACAAAATTATTTCTTTAAAGTGCTGGTCCCTCAGCTCTTAAATAGGTCACTAGAAAGAACCTCAGGATGTGGCTGGCTCTCAGTAGCCCGGTATTGGGAGCTGTTTGTCCTTTAGTAGTTACACTACTAATCAGGGTCACATTCTTGCAATTCACCAGAGATATCAGATTCCCGAATGAAAAATGAATGCCAAAGGGAGACTGCTTTTTCTTTAAGTGTCTGGCCTGTAGTAGGTGCTCTCCCCAAAAAACAAAAATTTGAACTGAATCTTTGAATTCATCATTTCTGTATCTGCCCTCTGGAATGTTTTCAAGGAAAAACAATTTACTTCACTGCAGAAAGATTATTTGTGAGACATACCAGTCAGTGCTTATCTACCTACCAACTAGTCAGTGACTTGAACTGATATAATACCATTTGCTTTATCTTGAAATAGTTTGCAAATGACAGAGTGAAATTTTACATGATGTTTGAAATGTTTATTTTTCTGATTATCAAGCTAGGGAGAAATGCCTTCTTTCCAGTTTCTCTTTTTTTAATCCTTGTCTTATATATTCCATTACTTCCTGGGAGGGACTGTTGCTCACTATAAGCTTTTGATTTTTCTCTGAGATTTACATATAGATTTGCATGCTATCTTCTTAGCTGTCTCTGTATGATTTTTTTAAATTTTTACCCTACTGAAGTCATAGGAAATGACTGTGTAGAATGTTGATTATATTTAAAAAAAATTTTTTTTAAAAAAACTTTTTGTTGAATCAAGATTTTAGGTGATTATATAGGAAATATAGAAACAGACTAGATCTTGGCCTTATGAGTGTCTTCTCAAAAATTCTGCCCTCATCCCCCATCCTACCCACTAGCCTGCAGAAACAGAGCATAAGAATGTGTTACGTATGAAGTTGGTAGTAACAGAGAGGAGAGGCCAGTTAGAGTTGGAGATCATTTGTGAAAATTGTTTCAATATACATGTATTTACCACAATTTTTAGGAATTTTTGTTTCAGGCTCTTCTGTTCAAGGGTAACTTCTCAGCCTTTCTCCTTGTAGGTGGTATACTTTGAAATCCAAACCAGGAAAAAAGAATAAAGAGCGAGGAGAAATTGAGGTTGACATCCAGTTTATGAGAAACAACATGACTGCTAGCATGTTTGACCTTTCCATGAAAGATAAGTCTCGGAACCCATTTGGAAAACTGAAGGACAAGATCAAGGGGAAGAATAAAGATAGTGCATCAGATTCTGCTTCTGCCATTGTGCCCAGCATGACGCCATCAGGTGACAGTGATGATGAATCTTCTACAAAAGACAAGAAAAAGAAATCAAAGATCAAGACCTTGTTTTCCAAGTCTAATTTGCAGAAAACACCGCTCTCGCAGTCCATGTCCGTCCTGCCTACTTCCAAGTCAGACAAAGTGCTGCTTCGTCCCGGAGACTTTCAGTCCCGGTGGGAAGATGATGACAATGAGGGCGAGTCGTCTTCTGCCTCAGACAGTGAGTTTCTTCTTTCTTCTCACTGGGTTTTCCTTCTTTCCTTAATTTCCTTCCTTAATTTCCTTTGCTTTGAGAGAAGAAATGAGCATATTTTTTGATGTGTGTGTGCACATAGGTACACAAAACAAATATATTTTAAGAGAAAGATTTTAATTCAGCTCTTAAGTTACTACAATGATGAGGATAAGAATGAAGATGGTGGGACATCTTAATCTTGATTAGGAAACTCTTTCTGTTTTCTAAGCCCTTTTTTTCTAAGAATGTATTAAATACTTTTCAAAAAAAGGTCTGACTCTGGTCTAGTTGCCTCCATGGACTACTGATTCCTTTGCCATGAGACTGTAAGAACTGGATGATACCTTACTGAATGTTTTGATCAAAGACTCAGGAGATGAGTTCTAATCAAAAGGGGAGAAAATGTAGACTAGAATGTCAAATTTTTGTAGAATACAGACTTTCTGGACCCATTGAGGCTGGAGGAACCCCCAAATCTCTTGCCCTGAGAAAAATTTTGAAACGTGAACTGAAAATATCCCCTAAAGTCATCTTGAAACTAAATAACAATTTAGCTGAATTGGTAAAGATTGTTCACTTTGAGCATTGTGCTCTTTTAAAGCATTATGTATATCAGTCAAATTTATAATATTTAAAGAATAGCTGACTAGTTTATGAGGCAGTGAGTCTAAGGCAGGGGTGGTAAAACAGTACAGGGAGAGATAGCTAAAATGGTGACACAATGTGAATAATGTAGCTAATGTTAATGAATTGTATACGTAGAAATTGTCGAATGGGTGTATTACCTGCTGTGTATATTTTCACCAGGATGGGGGCAGGGGAGAAACACCTGATTTTATAAGCTAACAGAAAGTACATCAAAAAATTTTTAAAGGGTAAAACATTACACCAAAAAACCAAACCTGCTGCCATAAAGTTAATTCTGACTCATAGCAACCCCTGTTGGGTTTCCAAGTTGGTAAATCTTTACGGAACAGCTGGTGGGTTTGAACTCCAAACCTTCTGGTTAGTAGGCAAATGCCTAAGGCAATGTGCCACCAGAGCTCCTTAGATAGTAATCCTGATATTTAATTAATTCATCAATTATTTATTGAGCTCCTGCTATATGCTTTGAGGGACTCTGCTGGCGCTGTGGTTAAGGCATTAGGCTGCTAATCAAAAGCTCAACAGTTTGAACCCATTAGCTGCTCTGCAGGAGAAAGGTGAGGCAGTCTGCTTCCATAAAGATTTACAGCCTTGGAAACCCTATGGGGGTCGCTATTGAGTCGGAATTGTCTCACTGGCAATGGATTTGGTTTTTTTTTTTTTTTTAATTATATGCTTTAAGCCTTGTGGGATACATTCCAGTGGAAGCTACGGAATCCAGTGCTTTTACCCTGAAGTAATTGTATATTTTGACCTTTAATTTCAATTACCAAATCCCTGCTATTGGTCAGATTCTGCTACTCTACCAAGAGTGCTGTTCTTTTCATTGGTTTAATACAGGGTTTTTCAACCTCAGCACTATTGACATTTTGGACTAGATAATTCTTTGTTATAGGGGGCTGTGCTACGCATTGTAAGATGTTTTAACAGCATCCCTGACCTCTACTTACTAGATGCCAGTTGCACCCTACTCGTTGTGACAACCAAAAATGTATCTAGACACTGATAAGTACCCCCACACCAGTTGTGAGCCACTTGTTTAACTTCTTACCCCTTTCTGTTTTTTCCTTTTCCTCCTCATAGTCATGACTCACAAGAGAACAGCAAGTGCAGATCCCAAGCAGCTGAACCAGATCAACTTCAACCTGTCCAAGAAGGAGGGACTCTCCTTTCTCAGTGGCTTTCGGTCTAAGAATGACACCCTTTCCCGCTCTAACGTCTGTATCAACGGGAACCATGTTTACCTGGAGCAGCCAGAATCCAAGAGTGAGACCAAAGACAGCACTCCCTCTTCTTCCCCATCTCCCCAGGGCTTCAGGAAGAAACATTTGTTCTCATCCACAGAAAACCTTGCTCCCCGGTCTTGGAAGGAACCTGGGGAAGCAGGTGAAGTGGCTTCTGACAGACTGCTCTCTGAGTCTTTCACAAAAGACTCTTTGAAATCCATGTCTCTGCCATCCTACAGACCACTGGTCAGTGGCGACGTTAGGGGAAACACAGCCCCAGTGAGCTTGGAGGCTGGGAAAGAAACCAAAGAGAGCAAGAAGCAGGAGAACAAGAAGCACTCTTTGCTTTCTCTGGTGATGGGAAAGAAGGACATGGCTAAGGGCAGTGAAGAGGAGAGCCCTCCTACCATCCCAGAGAAGGAGAAGGGAGGTGTGCTCCCAGAAATCCAACCAAGGAAGCATGAGTCGGAGCCTGTTAAAGACCTTATGAAAAAATCCGAGAAAGATACTTCATCTGTTGTCTACGAATGGAATAAATCTCTGAACCCCTTTGAAGAGGTGCAGATCACAGAGCCAGAAGCTGAGCCAGAGTCCAAACCTGAACCTAAGCTACCCGTCCCCTCTCCAAGGGCTCCCCAGACTAAAGCTGTGAAACCTCGGTGAGTCTTGGCTCTTCTCATTCAAGACCTTCCACCTTACTATTCATGGTATTCAGCAAGGCCCACCACTAAAGCACATCTTGCTTCTTATTCCATAGTGTTACATGTATATGCCAAAGGTTTATTAGTCTAAGTTATCTTTTAAAAACAAAAAAAATCAGTCCTTGCTGCTTGCTTGGCATGCACAAATCAAAATAACATTTCCCAGCCGAAAGCTACTAGTTCAGCAGATGTGGCCTGTCCCATCTCACTATGATAATCAGACCCCTGTGGAAGTTCATGCCATGGTTTGTAGCAAGTTCTGAGTGTTGCAAGTTGGGAAAACTAGGTTTTGGTTGTGATATGTTCAGAATGTGTTTATTACATTCTTGTTACAGATTTCCCTTTGAGACAAATGATATCTCTTCTTTCTCACATGGACATAGTTTGCTCACATGAGAGACTCTTGCTCCACTCTTGAGTGTGTTATGACAGTTCTCTGTGTTTACTCTGCCTCCTGTTGCAGGAGCCCAAGTAAGCCTTGTGGGGGTTTCTGCTTTTTGGCATGATTCACATTCACACTGACAACGTCTCTATGGGCTTGGGTGTGTGAGACTTTTTTTGGAGATTCTGCTTACTTTAATCTCACACATACACATATACACACACACAGTTCCTGTTCAAAATCTGCCTGTTACCTTGTGATACATCTTCTACTACTTTGAACTTTTTAGACACTTTTTGTCCTACAGTATTAAAATGTTAGGGTTTTGTCTTTATCACCACAAGAAACTGTAGGCTATTGCTTTACCTGGGTCTTTCTATTTCTATTGCAGCAGATCTCTACGTGACAGATGTGCTTAGTAATTTAAAAAAAAAAAAAAAAAACTGTCTCTTTTGTATGTTAAGTATTGGTGTTCCTTCTTTAGTGTCTTAAGATTCTGCCCTAAATGTAAAAGATAAAACAGTTCTCCCCTTTTAAACAACTTTAGTTTTATATATGGTTTTTTTTTTTTTTTTTTTGAGTCTTTCTCTTGATGCATCTGCAACTGACCTGCAGATTTTATTTTGTCCTTTTTACAGACTGGAAGTGTCTCCAGAGGCTCAACCCAAAGCCAGGCTTCCTTCTTCCCCTGACTTGCCTGTCTTTGTTCATGCTCGCTCTCCTGGTTCTAGTCAGACCCTCCTCCCTTCTGAACTGGGGCATGATTCAGAGACACAGTCCTCTGAAAGTCCTCCTGTCTCCTCCTCTTTCTCATCTCCCGTAGTGGCTCCCATTTCCACATCTACCCCTATTGACAGCTGGCCTCACACAGACAAAGACCAGACCATTTCTGAAGAACCATCTTTGCATCTTAAAGCAGAGTTTCAAAAAGAGAGTATAGCACAAGTTCCAAATACTGTTTCTTCTGCCTTGGGATCACTTTCCAAAGAGCTACCCATTGCAGTGTGTAAAGAGACAGAAGACTCTCTAACCATGGAGACCGGTGACGTAGACACAGAGAAGAATACCAGTGATGAGAAAGTAGAAAACTCTCTCCTGGAGCAGCCTGAAGTAGGACAACAAGAAGAGGAGCTTCTGAGGTTTCCCTACAAAAAACAAGACTACATCCCTTCATCAGAAGAGGCTCAAGAAAAAACATTTGCCCTTTCAGTTAGAAGTGGCAGAATTGAAAGCTCAGCAAGGAAGCCTTGGATGAGGGAAAATGCAGACTTTGAGATTCAGTCTAGATCTTTGGTAGAAAACAAAGTTAGAAACGGTGAGATGACTTCAGCAATTAAAGAAGTGGTGCCCCCTCTTAAAATGGGAGAAGCGGTCCCCCCACTTGACTCAGTAACACAGACACATGAAGAGATGGGTCTGAATGCCAGTGAGGGCCAAAAGAAAGTCAAGAAACGTGTGTCATTTTCTGAGCATCTCTTCACAGAAGAGGAGGTAGAGAAGTCCACTGGGTGGATAGAGGAAGACAGAAATAATCCCCAGGAAATGACCCAGGAAAGGGCTGCTGCTGGAAGTGTGTGTGACAGGGAGCCTTCTACATCTCCCCACACGGAAGATTCAGAGAGAGAATCTGTGGCTGAATCAAGGCTTTTGAACTGTGATGTGCCGGTTTCCATGGTGGATCAGGAGGAGAGTTTCTCAGAAAAACCTACGAATGAAACAAGCTCAGAGAAAGACATTCCACTCATTAGGACTAAGGGAGATGATACCCTAATGGAGCAATATCAGAGCAAAGCCAGTGATCATGAAGGTTTATTGGCTGATCCTCTGAATGATCTTCAGTCTGCCACAGATGCCAAATCTCCAGTCATGGCCGATCTGAACCTAACCCTTTCTTCTATTCCTGAAGTCACATCAGATGATGAAAAAGTAGACCAGGTTGAAGATGTTGAAGAGACAGCAAAGGTGGCAGCTCTAGAAGTAGGAGCTTCCTCCTTGAGCATGTCACCTCCTTACCCTGAGAAGAAAAAGGGACTGCGTGGTATGGGAGATGATCCCACAGTGCCTGCGGAGAATCTTTGTGCCCTTGGATCAAAAGCACCTAAAGCATCTGTTATAGCTTCTTCAGACCAAATTGCAGCTTTAGGAATTCATAAACCACATCTTGGCAAGAGCTCAAGCTTGGATAAACAGCTGCCAAACCCTGGCAGTGGTGATGAAGAAAAACTGGAGGAAAATGGGAGGCCAAGCCAGCCTCCTGGCACATCCTTGGAATCTCCTGTTTCTAGTCCCTCCCTTTCTGAGCCCTTTTCTGCCACACATTCTTGCCCTAGCTTTCCACATTCTAACACTCACCACTCTAGTACAGCAGAATCTCAAAAAAAAGCAACAGCAGAGGGCTCCGCTGCTAAAGTTGACAGTTCTGGCAAGAGGAAGCCGCTTCTTCAGGCCTGGGTCTCCCCCTCAGAGACACATCCAGTCTCAGCTCAGCCAGGCACTGGAAGTTGGTCAGCCAAGCACAGGTGAGAGATGGGCAAGATTGTCTTCATAAATGTGAGCAATGTTCCTCCCCTTGCTTTTTACTGCAGATTTATGGCTTTCTAACCACACAAATATTCTGATGTTATAACCAGTCGTTTTGCTGGTAGGGCCTATTTTAAAAGGACTATCCCCTGTGGTTGGAATACCTCAAGACACTTCTGTGTTTGTAGCAAGAACGTAGTAGTAGTCTTCAAAGATAGTTTAGGAATTGCTCTGTAGTCACATACTGAGCTCTAAAATGGCAGCAATTTACTGTGGCTAGTACCTTAATAGTCTCAGAAACCAACTGAGATTGAATAGTAGAATCTAGCAGTGTGAAAACTTCCTTTAAGCACTGCCTGTTGTGAAGCTGGCATATTTGTTGTGAACTCTTTGTTGTTGAAGAACATAAGGTCCTGTAGGGACTTCCACAGTGGAGTCCTAGGTTATAGTTACCTCCAAAAGTAAGAGACTGCCTTTAATGTTCTAATATTCATAATATGACAGAGGTCTTGTGAGAACATCAAGATATCTGGCCAAAGGTATGCTTTGCTGGCTGCTGTGTCCTGCCTTGTTCTGACTTTCATTTCATAGGAACTTAGACATTGGAATCTGTTGGATTGGAGATATGAATGGAGCCTGTCACCAGTCACCCTCCTTGTGTATCTTGCTTGCTGCCATCTTTTAGATGGCTGATTTCTTGTTTCTGCCATTGCTGAGAGGTCTAAGGGTCCCTTTTTTCCTTCTCTTCAGACTTCATCCTGTGAAGCCAATGAACACAACAGCCACAAAGATTACTAGCTCCAGTTTGGGAACTGCCACCATAATCAGTGAGAATATGGTCAATGAAGCAATAATGAAGGTATGTCTTCTCTAAGAAAGTGGCATGGTAGTTAGGAATCTGCCAAAAAAACATTTCTAGATGTTGGCAATTTCGAATATCCAACGTTTCAGTTAGCAGCCAAGCACTTAACTATGGCACCACCAAGGCTCCTCTTTGTCTCTTTAATCCCCTTTATTCTGGAATAATTCCTCAATCGTTCTTTGTCTTTCAAGACATTGACTTTTTAACGAGTTTAGATCTGTTGTTTTATAGACTTTTTTTCCTCAGTTTGGGTTTATCTGATGTTTCCTTGTGATTTGGTTATACTCATTTTTGACAGAAATTAACTACACAAATGTGTAGCTTCTTGAGCAATAGGTAATGCTAGGACTAATTTAATCATATTTCTGGTATCTTTGGATAACCTTTGGAAGTCCTTATATTTTCCATTAGATAATTACTTTTTCCCTTATAGTTATTTAGTTATTGTTTAATTTGCTGTATCTCAGGCAACAGGATTGACACCAGCACTTCTTTTTAATGAGAAGTAAAGGTCATCCACAGTCTGGCCCATTCAAAGCAGATGCTTTCATTTCCCCATATTTCCTTTCACATCTTTCAGTGAGAATGCATGATTGTGATTGTATTCATTGCCTGAATATAGTTTTTTGTAACTTTATTTTGAAATAATTTCAAACTGACAAAAATGTTGCAAGAATAGTACAAAGAACTCCTATGTGTCCTTCATCCTGATTCACCAACTGGTAACATTTTGCCAGATTTGCTTTATCATTCTCTCACTCTTTACCCCCTCCTCACTTTGTATAAATATATACATATTCATACATTATTTTTTTCTGAAAAATTTGAGAGTAAGTTATGTGCATCATGTCCCTTTCCCCTTAAATACATGAGTGAATAAATTTCAAAATTGGGAGATTTGACATCAACATAATACTATTTTCTTATCTATAGTCTACATTTCAATTTTACCAGTTGTTCCGATCATGTCCTTTATTTTCCCCCCAGGTGAGGATTCAATCCACGATTGCTAGTTACATTAACTTTGTTGTCTTGTTGTTACTGTTGTTAGTTCTGACTCAAGGTCACCCCATGTGTGCAGATTACAACTGTTCTATGGGATTTTCCAGGCTGTGACCTTTCAGAAGCAGATCACCAGGCCTGTCTTCTGAGGTGCCTCTGGATGGGTTACAACTGCCAGCCTTTCAGCTAGTCGAATACTTTAACTGTTTATGCCACCCAGGGATTCCTCATCTCTTTGTTGTTCTGTGCTGCTGAGTTAATTACACTCATGTTGTTGTTGTTACGTGCCGTCCAGTCAGACCCGACTTACAGCGACCCCTCCTTGGGCTTCTGAGGCAATATCACTACGGAAGCCCTGTCTTCCTTCCGAGGAGTGGCTGGTGGGCTTTAAACGCCAGCCTTGTGCTTGGTGCCTTAGGCCCGAGGCCATCCCCTAGGGCCATTCTGACTCATAGTGACCCTATAAAACAGAGTAGAACTTCCCCATAAGGTTTCCTAGGCTGAAATCTTTAAGGGAGCAGATCACCAGGTTATTTCTTCCACGAAGCATCTGATGGGTTCAAATTGCCAACTTTTCAGCTAGCAGCCAAGCACTTAAATTACATTGCACCACCAAGACTCCTCTTCAGCTCTTCAGTCTCCTTTATTCTGGAGTAGTTTCTCAAACGTTCTTTGTCTTTCAAGACATTGACTTTTTAAAGAGTTTCGATCTGTTGTTTTACACACTTTTCCTCAGTTTGGGTTGGTCTGATGTTTCCTGGTGATTAGTTATATTCATTCTTGGCAGAAATGAATTACACAAATAATGTTTTCTTCTTGGTGTATCATTATTTAAGGAGGCAAATGATACCATTTTGTCCCATTAGTGGGGTGTTAGCTCTGATGACTTAGTTTAGGTGATATCTGCCAGGTTCTCTACTGTAAAGTTGCTGTTTTTTTCCTTTACAGCTAATAAGCAATTTGTGGGGAAATAATTTGATGTTATATGTAAGTATCCTGTTCCTCATCAGACTTTCATTGATGAATATGGTGGTTGCAAAATGATGATTTTCCAAATCTGTCACATGCGTGGAAACATCCTTGAGTTCTCCTTTTCACTTAACAGTATATCATAAGCTTTTTTGTACTTTGCTACGTAATTGTACTTTGACACGGTTATACCAGTATTTACTTAACCATTCCTCTATTATTGGACATTTAGGTTGTTTTTTGTTTTCCATTTGAATACCACTTCCATAAATAATTTCTTGCATAGAACTTTTTTCTCTTCTTTCAGATTATTTCATTAAGCTAAATTGCCAAGAAGAGTATGACTGGATTAGAGGGTTTCTTCTCTTTGAAAAACCCATACTAACATTAAAAACAACCCCTCTTCATAAAAACAAAACAGGTCTCCTTGATGGCCTCTGCTTTGGGGTGTCTTCATCCTGTCCTTTTTGATTCTAAACCCAGAAGGATCTCAAATACTGCCTTGTTGCAAAACCCTGGCTTTCTCTGATTCAGTCTCATGCACTGGGAGAGAATGATTTAGTAAGGAATTGGTCACCCTAAGTTTGTAAGGGTGTCTTATATTTCAAATATGTGGACAGAACTTCCTGACTGACTACTGGGGACGCTACAGTCTATACAAATAAACTTTATATTTTTATTTAGCAGTAATTATTTATATTTATATTCATCAGCAATTAATTATTCCTGAAAATAAGTTAGCATCTTCTACCCCTCTTGCCCTTGCTTCCCTTGTAGTGCTTGCTGATGAGGCAGATGGTCACCATCATTCTCAAAGCTAGCAGCCCAAGTCAGAACTGTGTACCTGCTGTGTGTTAGGCCCAACCCATGAAGTGTATCTGTAGGTAGAAAAGTCAGCACTTGTCTTTCTGGAGTTAAACAGTATTTACCAGGAAATTGGGCAAAAGAACAGTGTAAAGACATCAAAATAAACAACATGTGAGATGATAATGAAAACTAGGGTCATTTAGCAGCCTCCCATCCCCTCTTCCTTTTAGTGTGGAACGCAGCTTGGCTCCAAAGAGAGACAAACACCTAGCTTTGGGGAAGTTAGCAAAACCCTTGGCTCCCATTTTATTTATTTCACAGTGCCTTATCTCCTGGCACTGATTGGGAGAGTTGTTATTGTTGTGTGCTGTTGGGTTGATTCTGACTCATAGTGACCCTATTGGAGAACTGCCCCATAGTGTTTCCAAGGTTGTAATCTTTATGGAAGCAGATTGCCACATCTTTCTCGCACAGAGTGACTGGTGGGTTTGAACCACCGAGCTTTTGGTTAGCAGCCGAGCACTTAACCACTGCACCACCAATGCCCCTTCGATTGGGAGATTAACTGGCTTTTTTTTTTTTTTTTTTTTTTTTTTTTAGGATTTGGGTGAAGATTTACAGAGTAAATTCACTTTTCATACAGCAGATTAACTGGCTTTTAAAACAAAAGCAACTGTTGCTTGGTTTGGCTTGCTCATGTCTAAGCCCTGCTTCTGCCCATCTGCAACACAGCTCTTAGTCCTGTACCATACCAGTGCCTAGATTCTGAGTAAATGTGAAAAGTTTCCTAGAGACTGTTATTGGCCTGCCTTATCTCTGTGTAATAAGGCATAAGACAGTAATTATTGTAAAAAAGAGAAAAACCCAAACCCGTTCTTTAGGATGTTTCAAAGTAAAAGGGAAGTTCGGGAACGAAATTGCATAGCTTAAAGTTACGAAAAGCTAGCTCTGGATCATTACGGTGGCTTTTTTCCCTTAGTTGTTGTTTTAGGGCCTCCACCCTTTATAGATGACTTACAAGTAGGAATACATTATTTACTCAGATGGCTTTTACACTTCCATTTTAGAAGAATGAAGCCAACTAGATCCAAAAACCATTTGTCATATGGAAAGTGTTAGACACATATTTGAATGTGTACCTCATTATTATTGTAACTATGTGAAAAGAAAATCCAATGTAAAACTCCTGGCAGGAAATACATGATAATAGCACCATTGTTTTTTTTTTTTCATTGTGCTTTAGGTGCAAATTTACAGAGCAGAGTTTGTTTTATATCCAACATTTCGTGTACATTTGGTTTCACTCCCCAGTTACCATCCCCAACCCTAACCCATCTCCTCCTCTCCCTTCCCAGTAACCTCCATAGTTATGCACTCCTGTGTGTCCTGCATTTCCTCTGTGTGAATGTTGTCCCTTTGGTGCCTTGTGTCCCATTGCCAGTTGCTCCAAGAGATGTATCTCTGTAGAGTATGTGGGTGTATCACCCTGGGTTGAGTGGTCTGCGTATACGTCTTATTTACTGTTGGGCTGAGAACCAGCCCTTGGGAGTGAGTTTTATTCCAGGCCTGAAGTGTATCCCAGGGCCATAGTATTGGGGGTCCCACCAGAGGCCATACGACCAGTAATTCTAGTCATTATTGTGGTTTGGCTTTTGTTCCACGTTTTTCCTCCCACTCTATTCAGGATCTAGCACCATTGTTTTTTGTTTTAATGGCTCATCTTTTCCTCCACAGATGCTAACTTTCTGTAATGCTGGATTGTTTCATAATTTTTAAAAATCATCACATAAATGGGATCTTCTTTTGATTTAAAAATCTTGTATATACCTATACACATATACATATATATTTCCCCCTTTTTGGAATACAGAATCCAAATTCAATAGTGGTTTGACAGTTTGTATGAAGTACAAACTTAAGGTGTGTGTTATTAAGGTGTGCATCCCTTTTCGATTTTAGGCACTTATCCTAAGGAGATATTTAGAAATATGGCCAAAGATTTAGGTTCCTGCATTTTAATTGAAAACAACATAAATATCCACCAGCAGAGGATTGTTTAAAATACAATGGCATTTTAAGCAGCCATTAAATAAGCAATTGGTGCTAGAATTTAATGATGGCAAAATACTCACAAAATAATAAGTGAAAAAACAAACTATTTTTTGTGTTTTTTGTTTGATGCTGAAGTTGTAAAACATGAACAAACAGAAAACATAAGAAAGAGACCTAAATACTGTGTGTCAAAATTATGGTTTTTTTTCTCTTCTATGGTTGAGATTTTTCTATAATGAGCAAATATTTCTTTTATAATTAAATAAAAAATCCTGTTATTTTTTGGGGAAATCCATTTTAATTCATGCTTCAAGGTCTAGTTCAGATGTCACTCCATTGTTGAAGTTTGTTCTGATCAATTGGTTGCTCTGATCAGTGATTTATTGCCTATCCAGGCTCCTAATTTACACCCTGAACCTCTGTAGACTCTAACGTAGAGAGCCTTGCATACCGGTTGCTCTGTGTGTGTTGGACACTGTGTGAACCTGGAGTTGCTGAATTGCAAACCCTGGCCCCTGCCCTCCAGGAGCGCCTCCCTGGTCTTAACTCCCCATTGTCAGTCTCTTCATCAATCTTCAAACTCCTTTGGAGTGTATCTCACTTTCCAAAGAGATAAAATCCTTATATGACAGAGACTAAACCTAAAAACTCTTGAGGACATAATCTTGGCTATTGTATACAAAGACTACTGTTTTCCTTGATATGAAATGTAAATGTGTTATTTTTGGTTAAATACTGCTTTTGAAGTCACAAATAGAGTGATTGAGGCCCAGAAGTTATCTTTGATTACATGTTTTCAACGAGGTTTTTTTTGTTGTTGTTTTCTTTAAAAAAAAAAAAAAGAATTAAGGGAGAAACAGTTTTTTGAAGGCATAGCTATGCAGCTTGTCCTGTGTTAGGTTAAAATTCTCTTTGTATGCCTAAGACATTTGACTGCTAACCAGAAGGCTGGCAGTTCAAATCCACCAGCCACTCCTCCCAAAGAAGATAGGGCAATCTACTTCCCTAGTGATGCCGCCTCAGAAACCCAAGGAGGGGTTGCTATGAGTCAGATCCAACTCCACGGCAGTGAGTATTCTGGTTACCTAGTGCCGCTCTGACAAGAAATATACCACAAATGGGATGGCCTTAACAAACAGGAGTTTATTCTTACAATTTGGAGGCTTTAAGTCCAAGTTCAAAGTGCCAGGCTCTAGGGGCTGGGTGAAAGCCCCTCAACCTTGGGATCCAGCTCTGCCTCCTGCTCCCGGCCCACTAGAGCTAGAAGCATTTCCTCACTCAGACAGCTGCTTGCTGCTGAGGCTGAGAAGCCCAATGTTGACAAGTAAAAAGGCATAGCCCTGATGTTACCAAACCACACAGCAGGCCATTTATTCACGTTCATTGTAAGTCCCAAGGTTGGCAGAGCATGGCAGGCTGCTGAACAACAACAGGGCTACATGCAGGGTCCAAGCGTGCCGTATGCTAGAGACCATTCCCAAAGCTTCTCATTAAAAACAGGAAGCAGATCACATCTCAAAGGCAGCTACTCAGCTGCTTGTGGTAGATCCCACCATGGAGTTGATTGCCAGTCTCATCATGGGGAATAACTACCACCAGCTGCCCAGCCACTCAACTAGGCCCAGCCAAGTTACACACAGACATAACTACCACAGTGAGTTTGGTTTGTATATGAAAATGTTTGTATGTGTTTCTAAGCTAGTATTGCAGTTATACATAGCTGGGATTTCTCCCCTGGGTTTTGGCTGTATGGAGACAGTTTGCTTTACTAGATTGGGCAGGGGTTTCTGCCATGTTGCCACAGAAGAGTAAATGGTAATTCTGCTCTTAACTTGGCTGCTTCTTGTAGAAGAAGGTAGTCTCCTCCCCTTCTTGTGTTATACAGTGAAACTGTTATACCCTCAGGGCAGACCTCAGAGTTCTGCAGGCAAAAAGTGTTTGGTTTGCTATAGGATTTTGTAGATTTGTAAACTCCTGAGCCACTGATTTCAGAAAAAATGAGTTTTCCCTACCTTAAGACTATTTTACTATAATTCTACTATTGTCCTGTAGGGTTGCTGTGAGTTAGAATTGAGTCCACGGCAATGGGTGGTTGGCAGGGTGGGTACTAGACACTTGGTAGGACATGTTACTTTTTTTTTTTTTTTCAATCTTTATTTTGTATTTCCTCATGGTTTGGGCTTGTCAGATTACAGTTGGGATCCAGTCGTCTGTTGTCTCAAGTGATAAATGCCAATAAAGTACACTTGATGGTGCCTGCTCTTTCATCATGAGTAGGGAGCATTACGTTCAGCTGTCTTTCAGGCCACTGTGTACCCAGAGGGTGCACCATAGACGTCTGAGGGTCATGACTGTGATATGGTACTGTCCAGGTTACCTAGTGCCACTCTGACAGGAATATAACATAAATGGGATGGCTTGAACAAACAGGAGTTTATTCTCTTACAGTTTGGAGGCTAGAAGTCCAAGTTCCAAGTGACAGGCTTTAGGGGCTGGGTGATAGCCCCTCAACCTTGGGGTCCAGCTCTGTCTCCTGCTCCAGGCCCATTGGAGCTAGAGGTTTTCTTCAGTCAGACAGCAGCTAGCTGTGGAGGCTGACAAGCCTAAGGGTGACAAATAAAAAGGCACAGTCCCGATGTTACCAAACCTCACGGTAGGCCATTAATTCAAGTCCGTTGAAAGTCCCCAGACTGGCACCAGCAGGGCATGGCAGGCTGCTGAACAATGACTCAGCTACATGCAGGGTTCAAGTGTGCCATAAGCTAGAGACCATTCCCCAAAGCTTTTCCTTATATACAGGAAGCAGACCACATCCCTAAAGCAGCTACTCAGCTGCTCACAGTAGATTCCACCATGGAGTTGATTACCAGTCTCATCATGGGGAATTCTACATCCAGCTGCCCAGCCACTCAACCAGGCCCAGCCAAGTTGACACACAAAAAAGTTGGCTTCAACTGCATATTTTTCATGTGTAGGAAACGATTGCAGGTAGAGTCTCTGAGTGGCCACTGCATCCATCTAATGACTAAATCCTCTGAGTGTCGCTTAGGTAGTGGCAGAGAGCCTGGGCTAGACACGACCTGTTGTGTTGGAAGGCAAGAGCTTGTCTTCTGAGTCTGTGTTTGGGTTTCTTCATGGTCCCCTTTGGGCTTGGGGCTTGTGGCTCAGCTGTGCACTGATGAGAACTGTGTGAACTCTTAGTGTTCTCAGAGGCACAGACACTTGGAGGACTGAGTGCTCTGATGATTTTACTTCTCAAACCCCAAACCAAATCCAATCCAGGGGTCCACAGCCTGCAAGCTAATTTTAAAAGAGTCCTGAGTGGTGCAAACAGTTAACACACTTGGCTGCTAAACAAAAGGTTGGGGGTTCGAGTCCACGCAGAGAAGCTCCTTGGAAGAAAGGCCTGGTGATCTACATCTGAAAAATCAGCCACTGCAAACCTTGTGGAACACAGTTTCACTCTGACACACATGGGGTCACCATGAGCCAGAACCTCCTCCATGGTAAGTGGCCAGATGAGGGAAGAAAAGAAAACAAAGAAGAATATGCAAGAAAGGCCAGCAAAACCTAAAATATTTATTCTCAGGCTCTTTTCAGAAAAGTTTGCCACCCCTGGTTTAGTCTTTAAGGAGCTCTGGTGGTGTAGTGCCTAAGGCATTTGACTGTGAACCAGAAGGTTGGCGGTTCAAAACCACCAGCCAGTCTGTGGAAGGAAAATTGGGCAATGTACTTCTGTAAAGATTTACCACCTTGGAAACCCAAAGGGGGGTCGCTATGAATTGAAATTGACTCAAAGGCAGTGAGTTTTTTTATTTGGTCTAGTCTTTAAACATCAGCAGCCTGCTTTCAACCTGTATTGAAAGCACAGATGCCCTGGAGACCTAGATCATTAACAACATTTTCCTTTTTTGTATTTCTTTTAGACACTTGATTTCTATATTGACTTTATAATGTTTTTTTTTTCTTTCTTTCTCCAAAGAAATACAAGCCCTCGGACCCTGCGTTTGCTTATGCACAGCTGACCCATGATGAGCTGATTCAGTTGGTCCTCAGACAAAAGGAAACAATCAGCAAGAAGGAGTTTCAGGTTCGAGAGCTGGAAGACTACATTGACAATCTGCTAGTCAGAGTCATGGAGGAAACCCCCAACATCCTCCGCATTCCAGCTCAGGTCGGCAAAAAGGCAGGAAAGATATGAATTGCCAGAATAAAACACTGAAACATTTTTGTGAGTGTGTTTGCAGCTGCTCTCAAAGTCAAGGACTCGGTATGCCTGATAACCAGCAAACAGGCTTCAGGTCACCATCTCCCTTGCGTATTATCTGGCAAGAGTCAATTCTACCAATTGAAGCTAGGTTAATTATTACAATAAATCTTTTACTGTACATTCCCAGGGTTTTATTTTTGAATGCCGCTGTGCCTTCAACTATGCTGTAAATATTTTATGCCCACTGGACACATGGTCATAAGATCTGCTCCTGAGCCAGAGATTCAGATGGCACAGGAGCAGAAGGTATTACTGTATCTTAACTCCGGGGTTTTCTTTCTGTGATAGTGAGGTTTTAAAATACGTATCCTCTGGCCATTAAAACTCCAGGGTGAAATGGGAAGGATCCTGTTGGTGCTGTTACACATACTTCCTTGGCTTGTGAGTAGCTCAGGTGTGACTTTCTGGCCACAGATTCTAAATTATGATACCATGTAAACCTTTGGGCTTCTCACACTTGACTCTTGTTTGTTTCTGACTGGAGTAGAGGAATTTAGGGAAAACCTCTGAGTGTGCCTTTTAGATTTTGAACAAGCTGCCTTCTCTAAATACCAGTTTTCACTATTCTCCAGCCTTAAAATATGCTCTGTGTAGGTCCATGGCCCCTCATGTTGGAGATATGACACGTAGACTAGAGCCATTAGAGAATCACCTTTCCCTCAATTCAGGGAAGTTGGTCAAATTCCCCCTCTGGTGATAGTTCCTGCTGAGGAGAATGGCCTATTCAAGTGCCTTGATAAGGGGTTGGCTCATCCCGCACTTACACACATTCAGGTATGGAATGACTGCAGTAGGATTCCTTTGCATTTCCCCTTGTGTCTTTGGCTCCCTGATTTCCTTAGCAGCATTTCCTAGAGGGGGACTGAGTCACGCTCTGATGGGCTTGAACTGGGTCCATGTGGCTGTCCTCTGAATACTTCCTGGCCCTGCTGGAACAGATAGGTTACTTTCAGGACACAGGAATTGTAATGAGGGCTTAATCTAGTTAATAAAATTTAAAAGCCTATAGAAAACAAAAATGCCTCCTCCTTTATACTATTGCTGCTTTTTCATTTCCCTTCATGAATAGACTCACAGACATTCTTGGTATAAAATTGTGAAAAGCAAGATAATAATACTTACTTTTGACTTGCTGGGTTTTTTTTATTTTTCAAACTAAATCAATGCATATATATTTTAGGATGTCTGCCTCCTCCTTAAGTAATAGCACCAGTTCAGATTTTCCAGCTACCTTCATCGTTGGTAGCCTAGTATTAGAATCAGAATGTTTCCCTGTTGGCCAGTTTTACTCCTAGTTGTGATAGAATCTCATTGAATCTTGACAACTGCCCTGAAGAGAGACACTCACAGGCCATTGGGATGGGCAAGGGTGAGATGATAGCAGTTATTAAATTGTGAGTCTTTTCTATGTATATTATTATGTTGAGGTTAAGAGCAGAGATCATTGGCAGGGAAATCTGTCTTCATGATCACTTTTGCTACAGCATAAGTTACATCAGAGCACTTTAATCTGAAGGATAATACTGTAACTTGATTTATCTAATTAGCCTTTAATTATCTACAATGATTTTATTTAATACTCTCCTACAGTGCTGGGGACCATTGTGAACTTCTCAGATGACTTGTATTTTTGTAGTGCTATGAAATACATTTACCTACCTATAAAGAAAACTTTATTCACATGAACTCTGAAAATGTACATGTATATATTTGTTCTGTATTATATTTTTTACTTTGATACAAATGTATTTTTACTGTGATAGCCCAAGTGCGCTAAGGGGCAAGTGTACTCTGAGCAGCTTGTCTTCCTTGTAAGAGCCAGCACGGATACCTGCGTTGTTAGTGAGAGGTGGTTGGTTTATAAATACCTGCTGCTAGGGCCTGGGGTATATCACTTAGTCAGTGTTCAAGAGGAACCTCTCTGGGTGGGGAGTGAATTCCTGTGCTCTGAAATGCCACTTGGGAACTCTGGAGAATGAAGGACAATTTACTTCAGGGGTCTCTGGTCTCTGGCTCCTACCACTGCTGGAAAAAAATGCAATTTGTAGCATTCCTGCACCTCACTATGTAGCTAGCCATGGGGTTATTCAGTTAATAACTATCACTGAAAACTTGACTTTGGGGAAGAATTTATCTAGGAAAAGCTGTAGCCAGCTCTGAGCCATTAGCAGAGCGTGATGGAGGGGAGCACTGGAGGACTGATGACTGGGGTCTGTCTAAGGGAATAAGCCTGGCAAGACAGAGAGAACAGGGACTTGCCTTGAGCTGCCTTAAATGGCACTCGATGCTCTGGGAGCAGGCTTATGCTCTCTGGCATCAGGAGCGCCTTGCCAGCTAACTTCAGGCAGATCAGTCAGTACTTTTGGGAAGCATCAGATTACCAAACACTGCTCAATGAACTTCAACTGGAGGCCAGCTTCCTAAAAACAAAAACAAAAAAAAAATGCCAGTCCTTTGCCCAGTTGTGCATCATCTCATTCCTAGGACTTAGACAAGTGTCCTTCCTCCCCCCATCCCAGTGTGTTAAGCTCATCAGGGTAGTATAGTGGAAGAGAAAGTAAGTCTGCTCTTCACCATGCTGAACAGCATTGACAATGAATTGGAGAGGTGTGTGATATGCATGAATGGGATAAATGTGGGTTCCAGTGTTGTCAACAGTTGGAACTTAACAGGGCAGAGAGGGGCAAGGTCTGTACTTAGCTACTTACATATTGAAAGCTAGATGCAATTTAATGTTAAATTATGCAAGACTTCTGCTCGCTGGACCCCTTCTCCCTACCAACCTTGTTTTCTTTTTTAGAACTACTGATTAATGATTCCTCAAGGCTGAGAGATTAAATTGCTTTAGGTGGAGAACCTAACCTCCTAGTGTCCACACCAACCTCAACTCTGGTTTCTTAGTATCTGCTATGTGAGCTATGAGTATTGCAGGGTATGTGAAAAGTGAAGTTTTCTAAATCCAGGTTTCTGAGAGCTGAAGGAAGTCATGCTCCAAAGTTCCAGGCACTTGGTAGGTACCTGCCTGTCTGGCCTCAAGATCCAATTGGAGGATCACCCTGTGGTTTTTTGGATTACAGAATTATTAATTTCCAGCTTTGTTATTTTGGGAACTTTGAGTTTCTTTGGGTTTTGTTTCTAAGAAGTAACCTAAAATTTCCTAGAACACTAAATAAAATGGTACTAGCTTTCAAAAATTTGTGTTTGTAGTTTAGTGTATGGGTGCAATAAAAATGCCTTCTCCAACCCTGAAATGTCTTTGGGGAACTCTGGGATTCTGAAACGCCACTTGGGAACTCTGAGGTCTCCAACCCTTTTCTCCCCTTCCCTAGCCCAGATGGACCATGGCATTCACCAGATAAACATCATTTGAGTTTTTGCCACCAGTGCACAAAGCCACCTTTTCTTTTGAAGTGAGTGCCTTTGGCTGCGCACCTGAGCAAGGGTCCTTCCTTGACTTCTTTCCTCAGCACCAAGTGCCCAAAGAATAGAATCTTTACTATTGGTGCATGAGTTAAATCTAGTTGGTTTCAGATCTGCCCCAGATCTGGGCACCAGGTCTCTGATCCAGTCAGTTATGTTTATCCATTTCTGAGTAAATTCTACAAGTAGTCTCCTGAGCTCAACTCTCCCAAACTCTGAGCCTTTACTCATGGAGGAAGGGTGTGCTTGCTCTACAGGCACAGGCCATGCTTGAGGGCCTTGGACCTCCTGGGAAGGGTAAGATACTTTTTCTTTCTTAGAGCTAAAGGCTACCTTGTAGGGAAACAGAGGCAGACAGTGCCTGAAAAGCTCCCAGAGAGGAAAGGTGTAGAACATGTGGTTTTAGTGGAGGGGCTGGTTAATGTCAATGGTGGGGCCACCATGTAATGACATGAAAAAAAATTCTCATAATAAAACACAAAGTCCTCCAGGTTTGATTGGAAAAAAAAAAAAAAAAAAATCCCTAAAAAACAAGTCAATTCTGAACAAAATATATGTGAACTGCTGTATGAGAACTGTAATTACTCTGTAAATCTTCACCCAAATTCCTAAAAAAAAAAAAAAAAAAAAAATCCCTCCAAGGAAGAAAAGGTTAATTATTCAAGTGACCTCAGTGTTTTCCTTCAAGATTTATTCCCCTTGCTTTTGGAGTTCTCTCACTTTGGTTCCTATTGGTGGTGGTGGTTGCTTTAGAGTTGGGTCCCAACTGCAGACAACACCATGCACAGAAGAATAAAATCCTGGTCCTATGCCATCCCCAGTTGGTTGTGGATTGGATCATTGTGATCCATAGGGTTTTCAATGGCTGATTTTCAGAAGTTGATCACAAGGCCTTTCTTCCTAGTCTTAAGTTCGGAAGCTCCACTGAAACCTGTTTAGCATCATAGCAACACAGGCCTCCGCTGGCAGATGGGTGATGGCTGTTCAGGAGGTGCATTGACCAGGAATTGAACCTGGGTCTCCTGCATGGAAAGCAAGAATTCCTCTTAACCCCACTTGGTTCCCACTGCCACCAAACACAGTCCTTTAGAGCAGATAGTTACATCTTTAAAACTCCAGCCCAAGCGGGAACACACCTTTTCTTTTGAGTCTCCTTAGCCCAGCTGCTGATAACAAAAACCATAATAAAGGAAATTATTGCAGGGTATGTGAAAAGTGAAGTTTTCCTAAATCCAGGTTTTTGAGAGCCTGAAGGAAGTCATGCTCCAAAGTTCCAGGCACTTGGTAGGTACCTGCCTGTCTGGCCTCAAGTTCTGTCCTTGTCTTCACTGGCATTCCATCTCTGGATGAGCAGTAGATACTGCTCCTCTCCTCCCTTCACTCCCCTGTCTGCTCATTCAGTCTCTAGATTTTCCTAATGTTACACATTTATTCTTGGAAAATAAAAAGAAAAATCCTGTTTTTTCCACTCTCAAGAGGTAACCAATGTTATTTTGGTTTTATTCCAGCAG